GGGAAACCCTCCAGGATGGAACCACATTAAATCCCCGTACCTGTGCCATCCCTATACATGCCAACAAACCATGAAGTAGCAGCCTTGCAGCAGCCCGCCGACAAACAGGTCTCATCAGCCGAGTTCTATGACTTAAAATCACTTTGTTGGAACCCGACTGTTTCCTGAAACTCACCTTTCGTTTGTGCCATATAGTTGTCCAGTTCCTTCCTGTGAAGACATGATATCACCCATTTGACATTCACACCAGAAAACATGGCAGGTTTGGGGCAGAAGAAATGTCTGAGGCCACATGGGTCACGCACGGGAACCAGAGCAGCCTTGGTGAAAGGACTGGGCCCGAGGGGCAGACATTGTTGGGACACATTACCCCACATCTCTCTCGACCACTTCAGCCCATGGCCATTCTTCCTCAGGCTCATCAGGAACTGGCCGGGTTCCTTCACCCACTAGAAGAGAGAGAACCATTTATTTACAATCTATTTACTAAGAGCAGTCCCCTCTGCTGCCTTTCACTGCAATCTTCCCAGTGTCTTGCCCGACCTCCTTGGCTTTTGCCAACCACCCCTCAGAGCATATTGCCTGCCCCATCAACCAAGTGATCTCTTTGGACTTCAGACCTCTCCTAGGCCTGGAGGCTTGCGGGCCTTTTTGTCCCTACAAGATTTTAGAGTCCATGAGACTCAGTAGGGCTGGTCCTGTGAGCAACCCAGGAGAGACACTGTACCTCTCTTCCCATGCTCTGCAGAGCTACTCCGTCCTTGAGCGTGTCCTCTGCTACAGCCTGCCGCATCCTCATCCTCCACCAGGAATCTCACAGACTTCCTCTTTTTCTTCCCTTGGGTGGGTTCCGTAAATCCAAACAGTTCTGGACTGAAAACACAAATGGCTGAAAAACCTTCCAGATTCAGGCAGGCTTGGTCTACCGATCGGTCACTTCCTATCAGAGAGAGCCCATAAAGCATGGCTGGCTTCAATAAAATGCTTTGTGCTCTCCCAAGCTGGAGGTGACAGGTGACTCTGGAGAGCGTGAGGTTGGCGTCCCAGCTCATTTAGAATCCTGCTGGGCCTAACAGGCAGATGCAAGTCCCAAAGGGACATGGGAGTTCAGGGCTACCCCTGAGAAGGCCAGAGGGGGGTTGGCAGTAACAGAGACATACAATGCAGACTTGCCGCCACTTGGCCTCAGAGAGGGACCTTCCACATAGGCCATCATCGCTTCTCTGGAGCACAAATGACCAGGGTCACTTGGTCAGCTGACATATGTCTTAATAATGGAAGCCACCTCCACTTCCCCTGTTCATTCCTCTCTCCCCCATGCTTCCTCCTCGTCCTGCCTACCCTTCCCTAGTCTTGCTGTCCTTACCCATTCCTCCCTAGCTCAGACCCCACTTCCCTCTGCACTGCCCTTCTACCAGGCCTCTGTTCGACCCCAGTCCTCCCAAGGAAGCGGCCTGCCTTAAGTTCTCCTTCCTTTGCTGTCCTCCTGTCCCATGTGGGACCATCCTCCATCCCCTAGCATCTGCTGACTTCCC